CTCTCATATCACTGATCAGCGAATCTGAATCTGTTGATGCCACTGAAAAAGGAGCATGTTTAATCCGAAAAACAGCAGGAATTCAAATTTACCGCACACGATCTGACATAAATCCAATAATAATCCCTGTATGAGTGGTATCCATGCAAATGATAACTAAATATAGGGAATGAGATAAGAAACGGCCATCGGAAAGCTGAATCATAAGTGGACGGTCCAAGTGAAGCGGCCGAAGTGGGTTAAATTGATAAACAATTTGCGGCCTTTGGTAGGCCGAGCCGTAATTTCGGAAGTAAACGGCTGGACCGTGGAAAATATGGAACGGTCGCAACCCATAAAATTTAAATATTGAGAAAGCTTGCCATCAATGAACTGGGGAAATTCGCTTCAGTGCATGCATGAATCTCGCCGACATTTCAAATTTAGCATGGAGAATGGAGAATTTGCTACTGTTACAGCACCGACACGAAAAAGTTTTGATTGTGAAATAAAAGAGTGAAAATTAAAAAGCTTACTGCTATGATCAAACTGTTGAACCGCTTGCCGATAAGCCATGCTTCCAATAGGATAAACTGCTGGTGCAGGGCCCGGCACCTGAATAACATAATAAAAAAAATTGATCAATGTTTTTTTACGTTTTAAGCAAAATTATAGATTTGAATATTCCGGACTTTTAAAATTCTAAAAAAGAAAGACAAAAAACTGAGTTTCTTTTTTTTTTTGAGAATCATAATATTTTTTTGTAACGTTTCAATAGTAAAATCAAGGGTCATAACATCGTCCGAGATTCCTTTTAGAGCTAAATTTGTGGTACTTTGAAAATTCGGACATGAATAAAACAGCTGTTCTTCTCTAAAATCATAAAAATGATTTTTTTCACACGGATCGCAACGGTTTGTCATTCGTAGAACATACCATCATTCGTGCACTTTTGAGAGGAAGACCCGATGAACCATCCGAATGACTGCTTCCTTCAGATGTCAACAAGAATAGCTCAAACTGACCATTCGTTGACCGATGCAACCGTTCATTGTCATCACGTATCTCTACTTTTACTTCACTGAAAAAAAAGAAGCTTTCTTAAGGTTACTACAAATTGTGGTTACATATATATACAAATTACTACAAATTCGAAAAAACTTACGGGAATACTCCGGAATCAGGTGCCGGAGCTTTGCAATAATATTTGAAATTTGAGCGTGTCAATACCCGCTTGAAATCACCAAGTGTAATCTTATCCGGTGGTACCATAACATCCGTGCAATACGGTACTGTTTCATCATCAATGTGATAATATATCTGTAAGTGTAAAGCATGGATTATCAACTGGGTACACCACTGCGGAACATAGTACACACCTTGAAAAATGGTACACACTTCTGCTCTCCATTTTTCCCTTACTTTTAGTGGCCGGCAAGGGGTTCAAAATTGTCATAGTGAGAGAGATGGAGAAAGAGAAGGGCAAGAAAATGCACGGTAGGTTGTGGAGACCTCTGAACTTAGAAAAAAGGGGAGAAATGTGAGGAAGATGAGTTAAAATTCAATCAAAATACACAAAAGTGGTCCAAATTAAAGCAGAAAATGCTCAACGTGGCCCGGTTACATCAGTGAA